ATACATAATAAATATACACAGTACACACACATATATTACATAAACAAAAACATATTTTGGATGCGATTAATCGTTTGACAGCACTAGTTTACATACTATATGTGTGTACTGTGTATATTTATTATGTATATGTAAATAGGGTTGGGTACCGAACTCGGTGCTTTTAAGGGTACCGACCGAATTGCGTCGATACTACCAAGTACCGATTCACGTTAAATCAATCGGTGCCAAATTTCGGTACCTGAGAACGCATCTGGGCACATACGCTACAGAGAGAAAGAGAGACCCTGTGACGTGAGGTCACCCCTGCAACTCGTTCAAACAACACACAGGGCAAGCCGAAATGTTCTGAAGTGTGGTTACATTTCTAGGGCCATATGGTTTTTCTGAGAAAGCGGACGGGATCGCGGAGTCCATTCATAAAAACGTAATTTACTCTATAGCGCTGAATGCCACGGAATTCGTCAATTACGTGAGGCTCCCGGTGATTTTCGGCCTCTGCATCTCACTATATGACGGCATGAACACAAAAACTTAATCTCCAGAGCTGCTGTGAGAGTCACTTCACGAGAATTTTACCGTTTCATTTGTGAAAACTAGCACCATCATACTGTATACACACAGAAACTTCATGGCAACCTGTTAAAATAAAAGTACGGTTTAACATGTAACAGAAATATATGCCTCAGTTTGTTTGCCAACAAATAAAAGGGTTTAATTTTCATTTGATTTAAAATAAATATTTAATGCCTTCATTTGATTTTCAGAAAAATTAAAACAAGAATTTCGGGGGAAAGAAAAAAAAAAAGAAAGAAAGAAAAAGTTTGTAGGGCCCTATTGTTCAAAATGTTGAAATTGAGACTTTTGGACTTATTTTATTGAGACTTTTGGACTTTTCACAGCAATAAATGTTTTTGTAATTACACAGAGAGTAAAGTACAGAAAAAAGGTACCGTTGGGTACCGGCACCGAAATTCAGGTACCGATACCAGTACCGTACCGGTTAAAATGTGAACGGTACCCAACCCTATATGTAAATGCACACATACATATATAAAGGAAATTTTATATATAAAATATTTATATATAGTATAAATTATATACAAGTATAAATATACATACATATATTTAAAAAATATATACATATATGTGTGCGTGTATTTATATATACATAATAAATATACACAGTACACACACATATAGTATGTAAACATAAACTTTTATTTTGAATGCGATTAATCGTTTTGCAGCCCTAACATATAGTAAAAGTTGTTATTGTGGCTGTAGGTGTGTTGCAGGTCAGTTGTTTTTTTAACTGGGTCTGTAGATACGTGATCACTGAGCTCATGCAGAGTGACCTACATAAAGTCATCGTTTCCCCTCAGCCTCTCACCACCGATCACATCAAGGTGTTCCTCTACCAGATACTCAGGGGTGAGTTCACATGGGCATATGTCACTGTTGGATTACATTTTTTTTTTTTTGTAATTTTGGGAATCTGGAGTATTTAATCAGGACAGATGAAAGTTTGATGTGTTATATGCCTGTGCTGCAGAATGGGATTATGTTTGACCTTGTAATCGTCCTGGGAAGCTTTAATCTTATGTTCTGAAAATAAAATTTGTTAGCGAAATCCCACTGAACTGTTAATCTTGTTTGGGGCACTTTTTACTCTTGTTGCTGGGCGAGTCCGGTGAATCTTTTAGCTGAAGCTGTATTTGTTTATAATGAATCTGGAGTAGGGCTGCCAATATTAATGGAGTCGTACTTGTGAAATGCTTTGAATACCAAAATCCGATATCATACAGTGAATGTACATAAAATGTTGTGTTAACGTTGCCACACTATTAGTGGAGAGCAAGAGTAATTGTACCCGTAGATGAGATTGATGTGTGATTTCACAGGTTTGTTATTGGTGCTTGTCCATTGTGGTCATTTTATGGTTTTCATCATTATTTTAGTTAGGATTTTATTGTATACACACTACTGTTCAGAGGTTTAAGGTTTGTTAGAGGTTTTTGAAAGAGGGTCTATTATGCTCATCCAAGCTGCATTTATTCTATCAGAAATTCAGTATGTGAAATGATGTAATGATGTGAAATATTATTGCAGTATAAAATAAGTGTTTTCTATATGAATATATTTTAATAATTTATTCCTGTGATGGCAAAGCTGAGTTTTCAGCATGTCTTTAATAAAGTTTCTGATCTTTCAGAAATCATTCTAATATGCTGATTTGGAACTTGGAAGAAACATTTCTCATTATTATCAATATTTTTGTGGAAACAGTGCCTTTTTAGGATTATGTTATCGATATAAACTTTAAAAGAACAGCATGTATTTGAAATGGAAGTCTTTTGTAACATTACTGTCACTTAATTTGGCTGGATGAAAAACAATACATTTATTCTTACGAAAAAGCAGCAGATACTTCAGATATTTCCTTTCATTTTGATTTGTGTGCCTGCCTTTCATCTTATGACATGAACTAGTGGAGGCAAAGTACCTCTAATAACACGTGTTGGTTTTAGCAAGTGCAGGAAGTATTCATTTTCTAATTAGGACAGTTGGAGCTTGGTTGTGTGATATGTTCTTCCTTTGTCACTGTCAGTGTCCTTTATGAGATGTCCTCTCTCTGTTTCTCGCAGGGCTGAAGTACCTGCATTCTGCAGGCATTCTGCACAGAGACATCAAACCAGGGAACCTGCTGGTCAACAGCAACTGTCTGCTAAAGGTAATGTGTACATCAAATGTGCTCAATCAAATAATAATGGCAAAGTGAGATGTGTCACTTTTCCTTCTCGTTTAGATTTGTGACTTTGGCCTGGCGCGAGTGGAGGAGCCGGATCCTTCTCGTCACATGACCCAGGAGGTGGTGACGCAGTATTACCGTGCTCCAGAGGTTCTGATGGGATGCCAGCATTACACTTCATCTATAGATGTCTGGTCTGTAGGCTGCATCTTCGCAGAGTTGCTGGGCAGACGTATTCTTTTCCAGGCTCAGAGCCCCATACAACAGGTAATAATGTACACTACCGTTCAAAAGTTTGGGGACTGTTTATTAAAGAAATCTGGGGGAAAAAAATCCCATTTACAGAAACAAAAGCAGCACAGCTGTTTTCAACATTGATTAAAAAAAAATTTCTTGAGCACCAAATCAGCATATTAGGATGATTTCTGAAGGATCATGTGACACTGAAGACTGTAAATTAGTAATGAAATAATGAAAATTAAGCTTTATCATCACAGGAATGGTAAAAATATATTCAAATTGAAAACAGTTATTTCAAATTGTAACCATATTTCAAAATATTGCTGGCTATTTTTTTTTATCAAATAAATGCAGCTTTGGTGAACATAAGAGCCTTCTTTCAAAAAACATTAAGAAGTCATACCGACCTCAAACGTTTACGTACCGCTACTCTATATTAAAGAATCTTTTTTAATATACACTCTAACAGGGTTTGAAATTAACACCCGCCAACCCGCCGAATGCGGGTAAAAATCAGCTGTGGCGGGTAACGCTGTCAAATCACTAGCCAGTTTGGGGGGTTACTTTTCGTAAGTTATGTTCATTCATTCATTTCTTGGGG